TTATAACCTCCAAAGGAAGAATAAGATCAAAGGAAAGGCATGGGGGTGTTAGTAATCATTGCAAGAGAGATTTGAAATGAAATCCCTCCACCCATTTGCCTACTGCCTAGACTAACTCCCTAGCCAAAGTGTCAGTATAAAGACCCAACATCTTTTCCAGCCCATCAACTAAATCAGGCCCTGCAATAAAGGAAGTAAAGTCTGAAAAATACAATTAGTAGCCCATACTATTCAGTGTGAGCAGTATGCTAAAGCTTCCGGGGTGCCCAGTTCATTAAACCTCAGCAACTTCCTTATGTAGGGAATTCCAGTTTGTTCAGCATACACACAACACAATGCCTCTAGTCTTCCTGTTGAAATATTTGTTCACTGTGCCTAAAAATGATTCTGTGTATGTTCAAGTCATTTCATTGTTTTTCTTCCTTATTAAATGGTACGTGTTACTGTTTCCATGTTTGTTTGGAATTCATAAAATGCTAGGAAACATAAAAGAGGAAACTATACTTGAAGTTGCTCACTTTTTTTATCATTTTTCTATGATGTAATGAGTAATATTTTAACACACGTGAATGTGTTGTTTTTTGAAATTATTTATCATATATCATCATCTTATAAACTTATATACATGAAACCATACAATGGAAAATCAACATTCATTATAGTATTTTCTTTTACATTTTCTGCGTTTCAAACAATACCACGCTAGTGCTCATGAAGGTTTGATGATGGGTTCTTACAGGTTTTGGGGAATGCTAAAGGAGCTGTTGCTGTGGTTGTGTCAATATTAATATTCAGAAACCCAGTATCAGTCACAGGAATGCTCGGCTATACTCTCACAGTTTTTGGTGTTATTCTCTACAGCGAAGCCAAGAAACGCAGTAGGAAGGATTGATGTGGTGAAAAAAGTATCAAATGTATAAATTCTATTATTAATTTTGCATTGCGCTGGGAAGGTGTAAAGTTTCGAATGCTAGAAACGGATCTCACTTGCCCTGCAATTGCACCTCTGGATTTTGCCATCAAATATGCATGGTGAAAATGGAGGAATATGCGCCTACAACCACCACGTCTGCCAAGCCAAACAGGAAATAGTAATAATTAACTTTGGTTTCCCTCCATTCTTCTCACATGGAAGGAACTTTTGTTATTTTTAAATTCTTTTTGGAAAGAGATTGTAAAATTCACTATACACAGCTTGTGTCATAAATTTTTCATATTGATGGTTTAAGCACAACACCTCATAGCTCATATTCCAAGTGTTTTTTGTGTCAGGGCAGTTTATGCTGAACTTTAATGGAACGTGTCAACGTGATGTAATGCGAATATGCGATCAAAACTCAAAAGCATCTGTTCTATACTCCCTAAGAGACAACTAGGTTTAGAAAATTCATCTTAAGTTTAGGGCAAACTTCTTTACTATGACAGGGTACAAATATCTCAATTCTCTATTAATAGATATAGTTTCAATATTAATAAATCATATACGACAAAGAGTTATAATATCTGTACAACTAGACGAAAATATTTGAAACAATGTTTTTATGTTTGAATAAATGACTAGGAGAGTTAAAAGACTAGCCTTATTTGATAAATTGATATGATTGATATGCATCTTTATGGTTAGGTATACATACATTCAATAAATCACATTCATCTTCTTCATCTTACTAGCTCTTACCTCTCTAAATTACTCCCTCAGTCCCTCGCAAAGAACTTCTCGGTTTGATCTACATACATATTAAGGAAATAAATTTACCAGGTTGTAAACTTTACTGTTTTAACAATGTTTAACACTGTTTTGCATTGTTTGACACTGTTTTGATGTAGATAATTTCTCATTTAAGGAAAGGTGAACTTCTTTTTGGGACTGCTAAAAAAGGAAAGCGAGAAGTTCTTTGCGGGACGGAGAGAGTATATAGTATGGGTGACAGTTATTCATCGGTATTGGAATATTTTTCCCACTCCGAAAAACTATAAAATAATAAAACACTATTACTTCTCTTATCAACTATCAAGTGACCTTTTGGTTGTGATTTGACTGTTAATTTAATACTCATAATTAAGAATAGCTTGTTAAAGATTTGTTTAACCTATTTATAAACCCCGATATTGTCCACCCCGATTCGAGTTAAAGTGTTAAAGAATTTATCTCACGCGGGAAATGTATAAAATAATAAAACACTATAAAATTCTTGCTTCTACTCCTATCAATCAGTTTTAAGATAAAATCTCTAGGTCTTAACAATCAATTTCCAATTTGATTTCATTGAAATAAAAAATGAAAACTGCAATCCATGATTTTCACACAGATTAAATAGACATAAGGATAGGATAATCTTGATGTATACAGCTTTATGAGAAGATTCATTGATCATATGAAAAGACAATTCATCACATATGCTTGCATGTGCACCTCGTAGGCTGGTAATGGTCAGGTGTTAATGTGTTATTACCACTAATGGGTCCGTTTACTAAATGCATACAGTCTTTCAGATGGATAAATGAACTATATGCATGTGTCGATGGCCAAATACGGCTATTATCTCCATCATCCTCAACATAAATATCGTATTTTAAATCTGCTGCTCAGAATCCTTACTATATTAATCTCAGGTGAGCTTGACACGCTTCATGCTTCTTCCACTTATGCTTACGCCCGTTTTATCAACTTCTTTAATTCAGCATCATGCTAGCCTCGTATGGTAATTTACATTCTAAGAAGCACTCGAGTTTCATGTACAAGGACCAACATATGTATGCATTCCCATTAGGGAAGGACTGAGCTGGTTCAGACAGACCCGGTACCCAGCCCGGACCGCTATTGTGTGATACCTGCCCGGCCCTTCTGACCGGGACCGGGCTTTGGGGCCCAAACCGGGGGTGAAATGGGACAGGCTTTGGGACCTTGGTTTAGTGGACCAGCCCGGTCCGGCCAGTCCGGGACCGCTCCAGACTATCTTTTTTTGGGGGGTTTTGGCATTGGGCCGCTGTTAGGTGGGTTGGGCTGGGTTTTCTAGCGGGGTTCGGGGGGGGGGGGGGGGGGGTTAGGAATAAATTAGAAAAGATTAATTTTTTAAAAAATAAATGATCAGACCCGGTCCCGGTTCAAACCCGGGCCAGTACCGGGCCTTTAGCATATGTTCTTTTTTTTTTTTTGATGTAACGTAAATATATATATCATCCAAAGTAAAGGTTACAAAATTTAAAGCTCCCCCCCACCCCCTCCTGTTAAGTTAGGAGAGGGTTGGAAGAAAATTTCACATCAAGTCGGACATCACAAAAGATAGCCACAAGGCTCAAACATGTCGCGGCTCAGAAAATCAAAAACCAAAAACAGAATAGATATGCGGCATGGTGCACGCATTCAACACTTCGGATCTATGTACCGAGGCTATCTAAACAGTCCATAGTGATCTTATCAAAAGGTGATCAACTCATGTGGGTATATGCTGTAGAGTACCTTATATACCACATGTTTGACCTTAGCAATAACCTCCTCCTCCGTCTTCGTTTTATCATCAAATCTGCACTCATTCCTAGCATGCCAAATGTAGTATACAGTTGCACAGAAAGCAGTGTGGGCTGCTTTGGCCTTCAGCGTTGATCCTTTATAGATCTTCTTGATCCATTTGATCGAGCTCAACAAGGTGGACATCTCATGCCTTAGTCCCATCCAGCTCCTTACGTGCTGCCACACCCTACAAGTAAAGGAGCAAAGAAAGAAAAGGTGTGGTATTGTTTCCAAACCACCCTTGCACAGATCACACCGATTCACGATATAAAGATACCCGAGACTATCCTGTGTAGGTAGTCGGTTTCTCAATGTCAACCACGTATTAAATGAGAGTTTGGGGGGAATGTAGGATTTCCATATGAAACTCATAGGAGTCCTAACTTCACCCTTGACTCTTAGGAGATCGTAAATTTTTGCGGAGGCTAATTTACCATTAGAAGCTCTGGAGGCAAGGCCCATGATAGTGTCATTGAGATTGTTGAAACAACTCCGGATTTTGTCTCGAATAAGACTCAACCACTTCATGAGCTGTGAGTCTCGGGTGTGTGGGATGAAATCCCACACGGTTCTACCTTGAAGGTATACCCTGTTCACCCATTTAACCCAAAGGGTGTCCTTCTTCATATGGACATCCCATAAAGTACGAGAGAGGAGGGCGTGATTCCACACCTTAGCATTATGAATGCCAAGTCCTCCTTCCTCTTTTGGGAGACAAATGTCTTCCCAAGCTACTTTCGCAAACTTACCACCCCATAGGAAGATTCGACAGATCGATACTATCCTATCCAAAATAGTTTGAGGAACCGGGAAAACTTGGAGCCAAAATGACTGGACCCCTTGGATCACAGATCATATTAGCTCTAATTTACCGGCATAGGAGATCGTCTTTGTGTTCCAAGCATTTAGAAAATCATTTACCGTATCAAGGAGGGGAGCATATTGTGCCACGGAGATTTTTAGCGGTGCTATCGGGATTCCAAGGTATCTCACCGGGAACACTCCACGACCATAGTCAACGAGGTCCAATATGTTCTGCAAATCCAACCCATTAACCCCACCAACGAAAATATTGGATTTATTATGGTTAACTCTAAGACCTGAGACGTCCCCAAACTCTTTAAGAGCATCAACCAATATTCCAATGGAATATTTGTCTCCTCTCGAGAAGAACATGAGATCATCCGCATAGGCCAGGTGAGTTATTCCCAATGAGCCACAGAACGGGTGGTGATTAAACCTCGAATCCATGCTCTTGATGGTAAGGAGGCGTGAAAAATATTCAAGGCATACAACGAAGAGCAAAGGGGACATTGCACCGTATGATTTTTGAAGAAAAACATGAAACCACCAATGCGCTTGCAAGTCAGGTATTCCTGAGTCCTGACTATTGCACGGAGACAAGCAAACCCTTTGAATTAAAGTTAAGTGCTTTGACTTGCACATATTTCTTTGCAAGTTGTAACGCATAGTTATAGTTCTCAATTGTATAAAGGCTCACTAAATTATACACTGGTGATAGTTAAATCATAATAATAGTTTTTGTCATATACGAATTATTTAACAGAGCCCAACTCTGACATGATAAATTTAAACAAAATAAAATGGCTGTGTTCAAGTCTGTGACATAAAAAGCTACGTGTACAATACAATTCACAAGGACTATGTGACAAACAAAATTAAGTCCATTTTACCTTTACTCTGTTAACAATGTATAAACCAACCCAAACAGAGTGCATTGATGATACTTTCTTTTCTGTTTGCTTTTTTTGTTCTTCCTTCCAGTGACAAGGCTCTAGGATTAATGATCCATAGTAATCTTCGATCCTGAATGCTTAAACTTGAATAACAAATATATGGATATTAAATATGTAAATATATGTTCCTTGGCAGAGCTTAGAGGTGAATCAATGGCCGGTCACTTAGAGTTGGAAGGAACTCCAGTTAATAGCCGTCTAGCACCTCTCACAAGTTCTTCCTTCACCATGAATAACACGGCAGCAGCTAGAACACTCTGTACTATTTTTGTGCTCATCCCTTTGTAAAATCCGTTAAAACCTTCGTGGGTCATCATTTTCATGATGGCGTCCGATGTGCCTAATATTCATTTTGAACCCGACTCTATCAATAATGGTTATCAAACTATGGGACCTATATGTAGATTGAAAGTGTCATTCTCCCAACAGGAAATCATAAGTTACTCTTCCCATAAATAAGAGTCCTTTTAGATGACTTATTTTGGTTCCAATCAGAGTCATATCTGAACAGTGGCAACAATAACAACAAAAATCAGTTTTCAACTTTTCCTTGTATTTTAGGCCCCATTGGGGCTGGTGTTCTAAAAGAGTGTCTGGAACAAGTTAACTATCTTAGATTTAGTTGAACCAAAAAATAGATTTAAAAGTAATAAGGGAATTGATGATTTCCAATAGCTATATACCTCACTAAATTTAAATTTCCAAGAGCACCCGTTGTGCTAAATCCAAAAAATAACAAAAGCAAAGTGATTGACTGACCTTTATAATGATGTCTTTTATCACTCCCAAGAGTTTGCTTTGCCTGAAGTCTTGACTGCAAGGAAATGAAATTATTTAACTTATAGAACATTTGAGTGAATAACTCAGATTTTTAAGTGTCAAGTGTCCCTGAACTCTTAAATCTAACTGCTAACTCTTCGAAAACTGTAAAGGAAGCACGAGGGAAAGTGAACAGGGAGCTGTATGAAAAGTTGGACTCTAAGGAAGGAGAAACAAATATTTATAGAATTGCTCGTCTTCGTGGTCGTAGGACTCAAGATATCGGAAAAGTCAAGTGTGTGAATGATGTCGATTAAAGGATACTAATTGAGGACGGAGAAATAAAGAGAGGTGTGGAGGCCATACTACGATAAATTATTCAATAGAAAATAAGCGCAAGATATTGGTGATCTAACCATACAAGATTGTATGGTATATCGGGATGTTGGTGAGAAGCATTCAAACGACAGAAGTTAAGGAGGTTCTGTGAGTCTGTGGAAGATGGGACGGAAGAAAGCAGTGGGTCTAGATGGCATACAAATCGAGGCATGGAGAAGTTTGGGAGAGAGAGGCGTCGAGTGGTTAACAAGTTTCTTCAACAAGATTTGGAGAAACAACAAAAAGCCAACGAGTTGGTGGAAGAGTGCTCGTATTCCCTTATTTAAGAATAAGAGTGACATACAAGGATCTACAACTGAGGTCATTCACCTTCTTCGCCAACTTATCGACAAGTATAGAGACACTAACAAGGATCTGCATTTGGTGTTTATTAACTTAGAGAAGGCATATGATAAGGTACCTCGAAAAGTTTTTTAGTGGGCCTTAATCAGAAAAGGCATTTCACGCTAGTATATCAGCATCATCATGGATATGTATGAGGATTGTACTACAAGTTTCTGTATTAGTGTAGGGAGAACAGTAAAGTTCCCTATTACTACCGAAATGCACCAAGGATCGGCTCTGAGCCCTTCCTTATTTGACATAGTCATGGATAAACTTACAAAGTCAATTCCAGATGATTATCGTGGTGTATGATGTTTATCGGCAATATTGTAGTTATCGATGAGACGCAATCAGGTGTCAAAACAAAGTGGGAAGTATGGCAACAAATATTAAAGAACAAGGGTTTCAAGCTAAGTAGCACCGGGACAGAAACGGAAACGGGGACGGGGAAACTCTAAACTCAAAATATCAAGATACGGGTACGGCAAGGAAACGTCGAACTAAAAATTAAAATTTTACTAGTATAAGTAATTTTTACGTCCAGTGTCCAACAAGTATGAAATAATTAAACACTTCAACCAACTTGAACAAATTAAAGCAAGTCCTAGACCCACTTGAACAGTTCAACAGTCAACACTTCAACCCACTCTTCCAGCGACTTCAGCAATCAGCACAAGGTCCGGAACTTTCGCCGGTCACCAAATAGTCTGAATTTCAGACTCTGAAATAGTGAAACTTTCGCCGGTCACCAACTTCAGCGCAAGGTCTCCGTCTCCCGTCGTCACCACTCTCTAGCATCGCGTATTGCTGCAGTAAAACCCTCAAATTCCGTCGACGTCGAGTGATGGATGCTAGAGTCGCAGCCTCGCAGGTTAGTTGTGATTAAAAAATTAACGCGGATTAGGCCCAGCTCCAAATTGACCGAGCTTTTTTTTAGAAAACTAACCAGAAACGCCTCAGCCCACTTGAATTCCCGTTTCCTATACGTTTCCCCGAGCCGGCCCAAAAGCCCAAGTGCTCAGAAACGTTTTCCGACGTTTCCCGTCGTTTCCCGGCGTTTCTGCGCGTTTCGCGTTTCCGAAACGTTTCCGGGACGGAAACTTGAGGAAGTTTGACGTTTCCGTGCATCCTAGGTTTCAAGTTGAGTCGAAGCAAGTTTGATGGAGGTAAAAGCAGTGGTAATAGCGGAATTACTCTAGATGGTAAGGAGATACTGGTCACTGATATGTTCCGTTACTTGGGATCCATAATTCAGAAGAACAGTGAATTATATGGAGATGTATCCCATAAAATCAAAACAGAATGGATGAAATGGAATAGTGCGCCAGAATTTCTGTGCGATCGAGATATTCCGACTAGATTAAAGAGTAAATTTTATAGGATAACATTTAGGCATGCATTACTATATGGCGTAGAGTGTTATGCGGCGAAACAATGTTACATTCAAAAGATGAGTGTGACAGAGAAGTGCATGCTGCGTTGGATGTGTGGACGTACTAGAAAAGACCGCTTGAGGAATGAGACAATCAGACAAAAGGTGAGAGTAACACTTATTGAAGATAAGACGCGGGAGTCTCACTTGCGGTGATTTGACCATGTGCCTAGAAGACTGAGTCAGACGAGTTGAGAGGTGTGGAGAAGAAGCGGGGAAGAGAGGGAGAGAAAGATCCAGACACATGGATTAGAGGAGTCAAGAGTGATATGCTTCTTAGTCTGGTTTTTACAACATAGTTTTATACATTGGAAACGTTCACATGCACACATATGCATTATGGCACTAACTCACCAAGGATGTTTTTACTTGGACCAACTTCAGTCCCAGCCTCCCAGGCCAGATTTAAACAGACCAGACTAGATCACACTTCGATAGTTATAAAATACATAGACCAAACATCTATCAAACCAAACTAGACCAGTTCAGTCCAGGCCATTCCAGACCAAAATCAACCAGAAAACTTCAATCCAATTAAAAACATCCTAAGGTCATCAAACCTCTTACAATAAAAAAGGCATCTGGATTAATGGCATTGCACCTTCACAACAAGCACAGGATATGTTACGACTGTAGCTCCAAGTTTTGCCAATGCTCCGAGCAAAAATATCTAGCCAAGGTTGGTTCTTGTATCAGTTCTGTACTAAATACTCTGTGAAACAATTGAAAATTAGATTGGGTTTACCTCCAAAGCAGTGACATCAGAGACTGTATTTCTGGAAACACGTCGTTTTCTTAGATTTTTTAAGAGGGTCTCATACAGCATAAACTGTATGGATGGATTGCTTACCTGTTTTAAAAGAAAAGAACTATCAGCAGCCATTATCCGCATAAAAACATGTGGAACTCTTGTCTCACGTACCATGATCAATGTCGGGACCACACCTTTCCAGAATCCCCAAAATCCAGCTTCATCATATACTTCATTTATCTGTGAAAGGAATGTTTCCTATTAGAAAATTTTAACCAAGACTGTTGTATCACATACAAAAGTAACTGAAAGAATGACTGATTCTGAAATGCTTAGTGCAATGTTTTTCTCAGTATACATATCAGCTTCTACTAAAGCATGAGTAAGTGACTAAGAGCTATATTCGAAACATAATTATACGCACTGCATGGGTAGTTCCGTAAGGAGGAGGTTCATCTTCTACGGGAATCACATCCTCTGTCATCATAGCTCCACTTGAGCTATTTTTAGATTGTTTTGAATGAGTCTGCACAAATGAAAAATGAACCGGAAAAGTTTAAAGAACTCGGCAAAAGCTGTGAGAGGCTTAATAATAATCCATAATCAATAAAAGTTGACGGCATAAAACATTAAAAATAAATCTTCATTCCGCGATATGTATTCTCCATTTTCTATTTCCCCGTTACCAGTATATAATCTTTAAACTCATTGTTCAATTGAGAAATGGAAAACATAGGTTACACAGAATGGTGTTGGCTATATACTCTTACGTCTGTTACTTCTTCGAACCTTTGAGCATGTAGCCATGTATTACCCCCTAACTAAAGATCAGATCTACCAGCCAAGAAACTCAATTTCGCACTGCTGATGAGTCATCAGACTTACCATCAAGGCATCAATACATTCTTGGAATTTCTGTAGATTGAGTAGGGGAAATCTATCAAAGCTAGGAAGACAGATAGACTCATTTCCCACTGCCAAGGGAAATCACGAAAAAATCATCACGGAAAAATAGTACATGAACACAAAATTACCAACTCGCTTTGGGCTACAATATTGCATCTAGAAAGAGCTTGAAAAACACATAGGCATACAGCCATGGACAAAGGTTCATGGAGGATGAAGATTGGGAGGAAAAAAGAGTGCACACTGCAGCCAGAATGATTAAATTGTCAAACCGTAGACCTGACCTTCACTTTTTTTCAGAATTTTAGTTCTCTCAACAGGATAATGGTTTTGAAGTTTTCTGAATATTATTTCCTTGAATTCATTTACAAGAAGTACATAAGCTATTTATACAGATAGGAATCCTGAGAGAGTCTATTCAGCACCCTAGGTGACTGTCTAAATACTAAACATAAATGATTGAGAACTGAAAAGACAGCAGCTATTAAATACAACCTGAAGCACTAAAGATACATAATTACAGTAATAATAAGGAAAATAAATCCTAGATTAATGATGTCTCTTCGTTTTATCAACACTCCCCCTCAAGCTAGGTTTGTAGATATCCGTCATGCCTAGCTTGACAATAAGACCCTGGAACCTAGGACTGTGCAGAGGTTTGGTAAACACATCTGCAACTTGATCTTCTGAGGGAGTGTAGCTTAGTTCGATCAGACCTCCTTCAACCTTTTCTTTGATAAAGTGCCTATCAATCTCAATATGCTTGGTCCGATCATGTTGGACTGGATTATGAGCTATGTTGATTGCTGATTTGTTATCACACCTCAATTCCATTGGTCCTTTCCACTTGATTCGTAAATCTAAGAGAATAATTCTGATCCATTGAAGTTCACATAAGCCATGGGCAAGAGCTCTTAGCTCAGATTCAGCAGATGATCGTGCCACAACATTCTGTTTTTTGCTTCTCCATGTCACGAGGTTTCCTGCTAGGAAAACACAGAGACCAGTAGTTGACCGGCGGTCAACGAGGGAGCCACCATAATCTGCATCAGTGAAGGCTTGGACTGATAATTGCCCACCCTTCCTGAATATTATCCCTTGCCCTGGACTTCCTTTTAGGTAGTGAAGAACCCTATAGGCTGCTTCTAGATGTGGTTTCCTTGGATCATGCATGAACTGACTCAAAACACTAACTGCATAGGCAATGTCAGGTCTAGTATGAGAGAGATAGATAAGTTTGCCACACAAGCGCTGATACATTGATGAATCAACCTTGGGTTCATCAGTAGCAAGTCCAAGCTTGTGATTAGGATCCATAGGTGCATTAACCGGTCGACAAGCACTCTTACCGGTCTCATTTAACAAATCTGTAATGTACTTTTGTTGGCTGATAAAGATGCCTTCAGATGAGCGAGCAACTTCAATTCCAAGAAAGTATTTTAGAGGGCAAGAGACTTCATCTCGAATTTGGATTTCAGCTGCCCCTCAAGACGTTGTTTCTCAACTGGATCATTACCCGTCACAATGATGTCATCCACATATACCAAAAGAATAGTGACTCCATTTGGGCGAGAGTGTTTGTAAAAAAGAGTATGATCCCCTTGGCTTTGACTATACCCAGCAGCAAGAACAACCTGTGTGAAGCGGTCAAACCAAGCACGAGGGGATTGCTTGAGACCATAGAGGGCTTTTTTTAAATGACATACATGTGTAGAGGTTCTTGTTGATGTTTTATTAAAGCCTGGGGGAATGTACATGTAGATCTCATCATGCAAGTCACCGTGGAGAAAAGCATTCTTGACATCAAATTGCAATAAAGGCCAATCAAAGTGAGATGCCAAGGATAGTAGGATACGGACAGTATTGAGCTTAGCTACAGGAGCAAAGGTCTCTTGATAGTCAATCCCATACGTCTGAGTGTATCCTTTAGCCACAAGACGAGCTTTGTACCGCTCAAGAGATCCATCAGCCTTGTATTTGACAGTAAAGATCCACCTGCAACCAACAACATGCCTCCCAGGAGGTTTAGTCACAATATCCCAAGTATGGTTCTTTTCAAGAGCTCTAATTTCCTCTTGCATAGCATCCCTCCATTCTTTCTTTCCTAATGCCTCAGAAACAGAGTTGGTTATGGGAATTTCATTAAGTCTCTGAACAAACAAGGCATGTGAAGGAGAGAAGTTATCAATGGTAACAAAATTAGCAAGAGGGTATATAGGTGTTTTGGTACATTGACGTACACCCTTGCGTAAAGCAATTGGCGGAGATGGTGGTGGAGAAGAAGAGACATTACCTGGGTCAGCCAATTGGTCATGCGTCAACAATGGAGTGAACCTGTTTTTCCTTGAGTACACTTTTGTCACTGGTAGAGGAGAAGATGGGTCATGAGTGGTGGATTTAGTAGGTGTAGGAATGGGATGATCTGGTGGTGTATTTGATTGAGGTTCAGGTGATGTTGAAGACTGTTGGGAAGTAGGTGAGGTTGCTGACACATCTAAGGAAGGTGATGGATGATCATGTGGTGGTGGTGGTGATGGGATGTCTGGTGATAAAGGCTTAGGAGGGTAGGAGATTGTATGTGGTGGAGAAGATGTAATAGTATAGGTGGGCAGAGGTGAAGGATGTGGAGTATCTTGGGATACAGGGAGAGAAGTAGGAGTGTAAAAAGGTGTGTCTTCGTGAAAGGTCACATCTGCACTGGTGTATGTCTTTCTGGTTGTAGGATTATAGCACTTATATCCTTTCTGAGTTGGAGAATAACCAAGAAAGATACACTTAATAGATCGTGGGTCCAATTTTCCCCTATGAGGTGGAGGAATATGAACAAATGCAGTACACCCAAACACCCTTAGATCAAGATCAGAAGAAATTCTGGTTTGAGGAAAGAAATGACGGAGAGATTCAAGGGGTGACTTATTTTGGAGTACCTGACTGGGAATTTTATTGATGAGATGACATGCTGTGAGTGTGGCTTCCCCCCAATAGTGTTTAGGCATATTTGATTGAAACAATAAAGCCCGACTGACGTCTAGGAGATGGCGATTTTTTCTTTCTGCTGTGCCATTCTGTTGTGGTGTGTACGGACAAGAGGACTCATGAACAATGCCTTTTGAGAGGAAATAAGAGGAAACGGTTTGATTGAAGTATTCAAGAGCATTATCAGTGCGGAAGCGTTTTATTGTGGCGAAGAACTGATTATGAATCATATTGCAAAAGATAGGAATGATGGAACTCACCTCACTCTTGTTTTTTAGCAGAAAAACCCACATAAAACGTGTACAATCATCAATAAATGTAACATACCACCGGGCACCAGATATATTAGCAATTGGAGCAGGACCCCAGACATCACTATGTATAATATCAAAAGGAGAACAACTGATTGTATTACTTCTGGAAAAAGATACACGAGACTGTTTAGCAAGTTCACAGACATCACATTGAAATGTAGAAACATCAATACTACTAAAAAGACTGGGAAACATGGTTTTTAGGACATGAAAAGAGGGATGACCAAGACGCTTGTGGTGAAGCCAAATAGTGTTGGTATTGGCTGTGATTGTGGTAAGAGCTTTTTGTGGAGGTTTGGAGACAAACAGTGCATCAAGGTAGTACAGGCCATCTCTTTGTTTAGCAATTCCAATCGTCCTCCCCGTGTGTAGATCCTGTAATAAACAGTGGGAAGGGAAAAAAATGGCAGCACAATTAAGATCAACTGTGAGTTTGTAAATAGAAGCAAGGTTCATAGCCAGGTTTGGGACATGTAGGGTGTTTTTCAGATTTAATTTTTCAGAAAAAACAACCGTACCAAGTCCCGCAACCTTTGTAGGTGTCCCATCAGCAGTAGTAATGTGCGTGGATGTAAAACATGGATGATAATTAGAGAGTAAAGAGGGTATGGCAGTCATATGAGATGTGGCACCTGAGTCTAATATCCATTGGAGTTATTAAGAGACTGTAACATCATACGAATTTGCTTTAATTCCTCCTGGGAAATGGGCCAAAGATTAGTAGAGCTCTCAACAATAGTGGGAGTGACTGAGTTGGCACGTCCAGCACTCATTCCACGTCTGTCTTGGCTTTTCCTTTCTTTCTGTAGATGAGGATAAAGTTTCCAGCATGTATCCACATTATGGTTGGACCGCTTGCAATGATCACACCATCTTCCTCCCTTACTACCCTTAGTTTCCTTAACATCTGAAGGAGTAGATTTGGCAGCAAGAGCTGTACTGTCAATCAGATTTGTATTCATCATTATATTGCGTCTGCTCTCTTCATGTTTGATAGTGGCAATGGCAGAAGATATGGAAGGCAGAGGAGTAATGCCAAGAATTTGACCCCGAGTCTGATCATATTCGGGATTTAAACCAGACAAGAAGCAATATAGACGTTGCTGATTTATATAGTTCTTGTGAAGAGCTGCATCTGCAGCATTCGACCACTTCATCGTTTGATACTGGTCAAGTTCAGACCATCGTCGTTGGAGGTCAGTTGCATAATCTGTGACAGATTGTGAATCTTGCTTAAGATTCGTTGTTTTGAGCCATAAGTCATAGACAAAAGCGCCATCTTTAGCAACAGAGTAGGACTGCTGTATGAAATCCCATATTTCTTTAGCCG